TCTCTCTCTCTCTCTCTGTCTCTCTCTTTCATTCTCTCTTTCTCTCTCTCTCTCTCTCTTCCTCGCTTTTTCTGTCTTACCTCAAAGACGGACGTGCCGCCTAACCGGCGAGCAACGTCCGCGTTTTATTGCACATTTTTCCATTCTCTTCTTTAAAAGGAGACACAATGGACGAAATCAAACGCACTCGATCTACAACGGTCACGCATGCATTCGATATGTCGAACTGATATAAGTCTTGCCGGTCCGTGCGGCCGACGGCGCGGGAATTTAGATCCTCGAATTCCTCCGGAGTCCAAAGAGTCCCAGAATTACGCGCGTAATCAATCTATATAATTTTGACTCAAAACTGCGAATTTTTTCAATCTCTTCAACACTCCCTCAACTTGTGTCCATATTTCCTCTTCCCCTCCCCCCCCTTCCCTCCCCCCTCTCCTTCAATTGCTTCCGACTTCGAATTTCATGTGCAGACTCTCCGGGACCTTCGGGACATCGAGAATCTAGACGCGCGCATTCGCCGACGGACGTCGAGAATGTTTACAAGTACGCGAGGATTATTCATGAACCTAGCGATTTCAGTCAAAGCGACGGGGAACCGTGGGCTGCGAAACGGGGGTGGGTGGGGGGGGGCGGGGATGTTACCGTACATATAGCCAGCTCTTTCGCGCGATTTCACGGCCAGGGAAGTTACCAGTTATACCAGTTCCCGCGGCTTTTCACGCTTCAAGCCTTCGCTCATTCCCGTTGGTCACTTCACACCGTTCACACTTGGTAATCCCCGACGAGCGGATCGGTTACCCCCGATCTCTCTGATCGCCGCTCTACGCGCCACCCTCGACCGCTCGTCAACTTTTTTAATCCCGGACACACGCTCTCGGCGTCTCTCTCTCTCTCTCTTTCTCTCTCTATCTCTCTTTCTTTCTCTCTCTTCGTTGATCGGTCGCCCCCGTCATTCACTACGTCGTGGAGGGCGACGTGCAGGCCGATGAGACCGGCGACGTCGGCGACGTCGGCGTCGCCGGCCTGCGATCCGACGCCGCGCTAGTCCGATTGTTCCCCAACAGGCTGTCGATGGAGAACGGGTTCAGCCTCTTCCTCTCCTCCCTGCCCTTCACCGAGAGATCGATGCTGCCGCTCTGGACCTCCTCCTCGGCCTGCCGGATGAGGCTGCGGGCGCCGCCGTTGCCGGCCGGCTGACGGCCCGCCCCGACGCCCACCAGCTCGCGTCGTCGCTCCAGCAGGCTCAGGCCCCAGTGATGGATGCCGGGCTGGTGGTTCAGGTGCTCCATCGGCGGATTCTGCGGCGGGTTCTTCCGCGGGTTCTCGCCGCTCTCGCTCGCGCTGTTGCTGCTGAGCTGCGGGAAGCACTCGCCGTCCACGGAACCGTCCGCCGCCGAGTCCACCCGCTCGCTGCCGCTCTCGCTGCAGGAGTCCAGTCCGCCGACCACGTCGATCTCCTCGTTGCCGTCCACACCGGACGCGGATATGTTGCCGTCGCCGCCCAGGCCCAGCTGGCCGAACGTGCCGCTCAGGGGACCGCTCCCGGAGCCGCGACCCGACGCCGCCTCGCTGCGAGACTCCCACTCGGCACGCAATGTCGACAAGTCCACCGTTATGCCCTGAAATTAAGAAAATGGAACAACCCGTATTACATAACTACTGTTTAATTTGTACGTTAATCTGAGTGGATACGATCGGCCACTGCAGTCAGATGTAAATGCTAATACACTGAGAGAGAAAAGCGTTCGGTATTTGTGACTATAATTGCGCAAAATAATTATGGTTAGAGGCTCAATTTCATAGTTATCACTGCAATAATGTTAGTAATAATTACCAATTTTTACCAAGCTGTAATTCTATGAAATTATATTTCTACCAAACCAAATATAGTTGGGAAATGACTATACATTATTGTTAAATTATGATAATTGTAAGCATTTTTTTTCTCTGTCTCTCTCTCTCTCAGTGGTTCGAAATGTGGTTTGGTCAGTTTGTGCCAAATGCGTAAATGCAGAATCGACAGAACTTTTACAAATGTTGCAATTGTAAAAGATATTTCTAAAATTGTATGTTATACGCACGGAAAGAACGATTTTGTTGAAAGGACTAAAAATTTTGCTAAAAACAGATCTAAAAATAATTTTTTGTTGAATCATTAAAATAATTTGTTGGAATGTTAAAACTGATAAGCATTGCTATAAAACATTTTGATATTTTAACAATCACTTTGACTTTCGCACAAAATTATTTTTATTATTGAACAAAAATTATTTTCAGATCTGGATTCACCAAAATTGTTCTTTCCGTGTGTAATCATGCTTCTGTCAAATAATCAAATATCAAATTGTTGATAAAATAGAGATAGACTATATAGCAGAAAATTTTAAGAAAAAATATTTGTATTAGAAAAATTTCTAAATATTTTGAAAAAGTATTTCTGTCGCTGTTCTGCAATCCTCAAATATACAATGATTTAAGCGAAGTCAAAAATTCTTTTCATCTTCCGAAAGAAAGTAATGCGCTCGAGAGAAGATATTAATACACGTAAGTAACGTAAGTACTTTGAAATTTTTAAATTGCGGAAGGATATTTTCGCGAGCTTGCGGCTTACTTTAGCAGCGAGCTTCCGCTGCTGTCTCTCGAGGGCTTTCAGCAACTTCTTCTGTCGCCTCTCGCGCTCTTTCCGTCTCAGCTCCTCGGGCGGGATAGGTTCGCCGCTGCAGCTTTGAGGGTGAGCGTTATGCGCCGGCCTTCCGGGGCCCTTTTTCGTGTGCTCCTTCTTCCGCCACTTCGCCCTTCGATTTTGGAACCACACCTGTAATGGCAATTAATATTTCTAATGAGCTACACTCTGTTAAACATTAAGGGATTAAATTCAGATTAAATTTCTTAAGTCAAATAACAATTTTGTTATTTTCAACTTTTATGCGTGTCGAAATTTATTACTTCAATGCAAAACATGTAGTTTAAAAAACAGCTTATCTAATTAATTCATTTCTATGTTTAGATTTCTTAATTTTAAAGCAAACAGCGCCCATATCAACGTATGCATATTGCATTAATAAATAAACCAAAATTTAAAATCAAATTGAATATATACATTTCTTCAATAAAATTGTTTAACTCCATTCTTTTGAGTTAAAACACTGTAAGAGCAATGGCAACTTATGGAATAATTAAAAATGCCTCAAATTGGGTATAATTTGACATTACAAATTTAATAGCGCAAACCTCTGTTAAAAAAAATTGAATATTTTCTTCGTCGAGAAAGGCGGAATCAGGATGTGCTTCCTCCAGTCTATTTCGTCAACGTCGGTCAAATTCTGACCACGACTCGACTTGCCTTCTATTATCTGCTTCCACAGAAAGAAGATTAAATCGACCACAAGTTCGCGCCAATTGACGTCGACGAAAGCTAAGCGTCGTTCCCCCGCAGGTCTTGAATTGTAACGGGCGTTCGCGGCGTCGCGTAAATTTGCGGATCCTCCCCTCTCCTCCCCCCCCCCGGATCTCTTCCCACCCGCGTCGCTCGCCCTCCGCATCCCCCACGTGAAATTTCCCTGCGAGAGCTGCTTAAATCACAGCGCCGCCTTCGCCGCGGCGCTATCAGAAGCGACACGAAGGGCGGATGCATTAAGTTCCGAAATTACAGGAAGGCTCCTGTCTCAGGACGAAGGACCAACGACCCTCCCGGGTGTCCTGATTCATTGAGGACGACAACCCTTTGCTCGCGTGAACGCTCGTGGCATGAACGACGATTTAGGGCTAGCGTGAGCCACGACGCCGACCGAAGGGTAGCGAGGGCATTCTCCCCCTCCCCCCCCCCTCTCTCTCTCTCTCTCTCTCTCACACACATTCTCTCGAGGGGCGAGAGAAGGTGGCCGTGGAGGGAGAGATGAAGACATTAGTTGTACGGCCCGGCCGGCGAGCGGCGCTGAGCTCACGCGAGCCGAAGATCAATAGATCCCCTCGGCTCCCTGAAACACCTTCCTCGCGTCACGTAGCTTTACGAAACTTTCTTCGACTCCGGGACACTTTACAAACCCCTGAACGAGCCCAAACCAAAGCGCTCGTTCGTCTCTCTCCTGTCCCTTTCTCTCTTTCTCTCTCTTTCCGCCCGCTATCCGCGAATCCCCGTTACTCGCGATTAAACTTCGGACGATCGTAATTAATTCGATTACTTCGACAGCTCTATTTAGAATCCGTCGCACGCGCTTACGCTATTTAATTTTCTCTAGCCTTTCGACTTTCAGCTCGAGCCTGCGGCCGTGCTTTAACTCCAGAAAGTAAACATATTTCGAAAAAGTCTAATAAGGATAAATCTATTCGACGTGTGAAATTTAAATTACATTTTTTAATTATTTTCGTAGATATACCTATTTTATATTTTTATACATATTTTATTTATTTATTTTGACGAGATGTACATATATCCACAAATAAAATAAAATTCAATATTAATTAACAAATATATTTATTCGAAAAAAAATGGTATTTTTTAAATATCTCTAAAAAATAACATTAAAAAATCTTCGGTAACATCTAATCAACGTATCTTAACTAGTTCCAGGGGTAAATTCCATAAATTGCTACAGCTACCGAAGTAATTTCCAGCCCGATAATATCTAAGTGCTGCATTTTTTTATGTTGATAATTCCAATTAACCTGTCAACTCTAATTTCATTATTTATTTCATTATTTGATATCATAATTTGCAGAAAAATGGCAATCCACGATATCATCGAGCAGCAAAACAAATCTTTTGATTAAATTATTGTAACTTTATCTTGGAAAGAGTAAGATCTAAAAAAGATTACCGTACACGGAAAGAATGAAATTTTGTTGAAAGGTCTACATATTTTGCTGAATACAAATCTGAAAGTAATTTTTGTTCAATAATCAAAATAATTTGTTGGAAAGTTAAAAACGATAGGCTATAAAACATTTTGATATTCTAACAATCATCTTGACTTTCCAACAAAATTATGTTGATTATTAAACAAAAATTATTTTCTGATCTGGATTCAGCTGCAAAATTGTTCTTTCCGTGTAGATTTGATTTTAAAACAAAGCATATACAAAAGGAAAAGGGGATTTCAATACAGACGCAATATTGCAAATTCCCAAATCGTGCAGATGGAAAAATCGGCGTTCGATCAATTGGTCCGCCGATCGAATTTAGAGGATCGGTTTCCGAATTCGTCGAGAATTATTCGGCTACCGCGCGGCTCGTCTGAAACCTTAATACCCGCTCGAATCTCACGCGGGACGGTCCCGCCTGGGCTCACAGTTCAAAATCGGGCACAGCTGTAACGCATTACATTAACGCGATACACGCGGGAAACACGAGTCGGGCATTAGCGCGGCTATTCGTCAGGAATTATCGACGACCGATAGCGGTTTAACAAGCTGTTTCTATCCCGATGAGAGCTTGATCTTTCTCTCCCCGTGTTCCGGCGGACTAAATAACACAGTTTTTCTCTTCCCCCCCTCCCTCCCCCCTCCCCCCGTCGTCGCCGCCACGTCGAGGAGGTGCAGGCGGTGCAGCCTTTACATTGTAAGCGCACGACTGGCCTGACACGCATAAAGCGTATATCTTTTATGGCAGCAAAAACTCGAAGAAACGACGTCGTTGTCGATAACCGTAATCGGCCATACGGAGGGCCCCGTCGGGGAAAGATAATGCATTCTAATGTAATTATGTTTCCGCCAATTAATAAACGATGTTTTCCGCGCGCCGTGCCGATAAGAGCCGCTCTGTCTCTCTCTCTCTCTCTCTCTCTCTCTCTCTTTCTCGCTTGACCGATTAAATTGTTTCACATACCATAATTAACCCTTCGCTTTAATGGTCTTCCCGGTCGTTTTATCGTAATAGGAAGCACTCATTGTCAGTCGGTCGGCACTTTACGCCGCGGAGTGCGTTGGAAAAATGCGGGAAGTAAACGTCGAGCGGGGGGGGGGACGGGGAGGGGGGAGAAAACCGAAGAGCGGAAGAGAGCCGAACGATCGTATTGTGTCCGTCTCGAGTAATTCCTCTATTCAATCGTATCTGCCTCTCTCTTCTCTATACTCGCGAAAAAAAATAAATAAATAACGATGATTTCGAGCTCGATCGAGCAGCGGCGTTTCGCCGCGAGAGTCGCGCGTAAACAATGGCCCGTATAAATAAAATCGTAGAATAATCGCGTCACGGTTAGCGGCCGCACGATTGGACTCGACGTTTTACAAGCTGATGGTCGTTTCACCGCGCTGCGCGGACCGGCGCGGTGCTGCACGAGAGCCCGGCCGCGGCCGGCTCGTCGTCGCGGATGCAAATAGCGCTCCTTGATATAATAGCGACGTCGCGTCCGCGAGAGCCCTTTCGCGATAAATCAAAACGCACGGTTCCCGCGATGATTTACGACCGGGTGGCGTATATACGAATTTCGGCCACACACACGCGTATAAGGTATATAACACACGCGTGCGCGCGCAAATTTCGCGGACGGTACGTAATAGACGCGAAAACCGCGCGAGATCGAGCGATAACGCGAGAGATCGTCCGCCATATATAACGCCCGCGGCGGCGCGTCCGGAGAAAATATTGATCCCTCCCGGAGTGCGCACTCGAATTCTCGAGTGTCTCTCCTATTCGATCGTCGCGAACGGAGAGAGATCGGATCGGATTTTGGCTGGTGGAGCGAGCGCGGCGCGGCGCGGCGCGGCGGATGATGGCGTATGACGATAACCCGCGGCCGGAGAGAGCCCGGGTGACACAATGTGACACGATGTCACACAGCCGGTGCGCGTCCTTTCGATGGTGCTTCCCCCACGACAGGGAATAGCTCTCAGATTAGATAACATCGATCACCACCGTACGATAACCCCCCCCCCTCTCCCCCGACCTTCCTCCCTCCCTTCCTCCTCTCTCTCCCCCCCCCGACGAACGCGTATGTCCCGCTGCGGGCGCATCTCCTCCCGGAATATCGGACAACAGCCAGATAAACGTGGCCGACAATCGGTCGACGGCGGCGCTTGTCGACGCCCGCGCGAACAAATCTAAGTGTCCGAAGATGCTCTCGCGGAATATCGAGCCCCGCGCTTTCCGCTTTCCTATTATCGAATATACAATACTTATATACCTTCGCAACGCGCATCATCGAGACATTAATCTCTCTCAACCCTTGAGAACCGCGCGCGCGGCTTCGAATTTGGCCCGAACTCCACGACACATATTCGACGCGGATTTATTCAGTCCACTGGCGGCTCTATCTGGAGATCGACTCGGCGATAGACACGAATTTAAAGTGACTTCGGGATCGAATTTTCGAGGGTCGACAGACAACCGGGGCGGGAGGGGGGGAGAGGGGGTTGGTTCCGGCCTCGGACCTTTGCCCCCTTTTCCCTTCTGCCCTCTCCCCTCTCCCTTCCCAAGCTCCGTCTCGAGGGGGTAGTTAGTCCATCTGGTCCGTTACCTTCGGGGATCTACTCGAGGGTGCAAAACCGACGCAGATTTATCCGCTCGACGATCGTCCATTTAAATAACACCGGCGCCGATAGGACGCCATTGTTTCCCAATAATGTTTTCGTAAGGGTAAACTCGCCAATCTGTCTTCTTCTTATCTCTTCATTTATTTACACAATGAACGCTTTGAGATTTGTTTTTCCAAGAAACGTGAGCCCACTATACGGTTTATGATCCCCGTCAGAATTCAGGATAGAGTTCCATTTGCAATTTTATGTGCCGTGTAACACGGGAAACATTTTGCTTACTTGCTACAACAACGACATAACTGAAAAAGAAACAAAGTTTCTCACAAAATAAGTTTCAATATTTTGAATTATTAAAATTTTGTAATATTAATTTTAAAATGCAATTTTGGTATAATAACTGATTGTAGAGAGGAATAAAAGTTCTTTCTTTTTTCTTTATGTCTTAACTCTTTTTCTGCAAGCAATTTAAAAGTGACAATTTTCGAGTTATGTATAGCTGTCATAGCAAATGAGCGATTTGAAGTATCAAAATAGACATAAATAAAAGATACAACATAAAATAACAAACAGATTGAATTCTATCCTGAAATTATAAGTCGAACTAAATTATAAGTCGAATTAAAGGTCTGAAATAAGCTTTATAATGTTTAACCTTTAAACCACTATATCGGTCTCACAAACCGCTATTGAAACGTTACTTGTCAACCATTTTCTTATTTATCACCATTTAAATATATTTTATTTCTATTGTACACGAGATTTTTTGTTCCCTTCGCATTAAAACATATAGTTTTCTTTTTCCCCATCACAAATATTCAGAAAACATATTTTTATTATACATAACTTATAAAATTAGCGAGAGCATAATAGCGGCTTGTCAGACCGACATTGTGGTTAGTGTAATTTTGTGGGATGTGGTGGTTTAAAGGTTAAACATAAAGTAGCCTATTTTAATTATAAATACGCGCAACAATTGACAAATTGACAAAGTCAACGCGCATAATTAATTTTTCACGGAAACCAAAATATTGGCATAACATATCGAGACGTGAATAGCGTAAAAAATTAGAACCCTATCGAAGATCTATCACGACGACGTGGGCACGGCACGTGTCATTAAGATTCCGCGAAACTGGCATTAAATCCGTTCGACGTACGGCCGGCCTTCTTCCGGCATTCGGACAGCTCACGCCCGACGCGCGACATTCGTCGAATGCAGTCCAGCCGAAATCCTTCGACAGGACCGCGAAGGGTGAGAGCTCTCTCAATTTCACGGCCGGTCGGACATACGGTTACCCTTAGGTCCCTCAAGCGGATATTTATATTTATCCGCTTAGACACGCGTGTTAGGCCCCGCAAATAGCGCATACATCCGTTCCCCTCTCCCGTACGCCGATGATGCACCTCCTCGTTTTACATATCTCGTCAACCTCCTCCTCCTCCTCCATTCTTATATCTCCTCTTCGTATCGCACTTCCGCATTCGTACTCGCATTACATGCCGCAAATAATTCAATATATTATTTTGCAATTCTATTCCTCGTCCGTTTCTCTCGTTGCGCACGTTGGACAAGAATCACGCGATGTTCGTACGGGGTGTACTTAATAACAGCGTTGTTTCCTCTGCGCCATAAATTTTTCAATAAAATTAGAGCTTTGCTCGGTGAAAAAGTGGATAGAGAATAAACGAAACGGCTTTATAATTTTGCAACATATTAAGTGCACTTTTGTAACTATATTGAAAATCTTGTTAAAGCTTAATCCACTTTGTAAGTTGACTACATTCACTCCGTTTTGCAGTAAATCGGCTGAATTGAATAAAATTAGTCGCATCGATTAATGTCAGAACGTATAACGCGGATTGATCGAAATGTCCGAAGTTTTCTAATCAACTTTCTATCTCGTACTTTCATTTGTCTACGAATCGACGGCTACCAATATCAACCTTCTCTTATTTTGATTACCGTTATATATATACGATTGTGGGAATGTAGTGTCGGCGATGTTCTATGTTGTATACAACAAAATAAGTGAAGGCCGGAGGAAGAAACTTACTGCCACGCGGCTCTCTTTCAGCTCGAGTCTCACAGCCAGTGCTTCTCGCATAAAGACGTCGGGATAATGACTCGACAAGAAGGCCCGTTCCAATTCCTCCAACTGCCAACTGTTGAAGTTAGTCCTGCTTCTTCGCCTCTTGTTGCCGCCCTCATCCGATTCCCCGTCGCAACCTGTAAGAAAGAACATACAATATTCAGAAGAAATTCGGATAAACCGGCCCGTGAAACGTAAAGCTTCCACATAAATACAGATGTCTAAAATCCCGAAACTTCGAATTGAAGTCTCTCTTGAGACTTCAAAAATCAAAGACAAGAAGATTCAATCAGCACCTCGATAATTGTAAAATATTAAAGTAAATAATGTTACACGGAAAGAACAATTTTGCTGAATCGAGATCTGAAAATAATTTTTGTTCAATAATCAAAATAATTTTGTGCAAAAGTCAAAATGATTGATAGAATATCAAAATGTTTTATAGCAATGCTTATCAGTTTTAACACTCCAACAAATTATTTTGATGATTCAATAAAAAATTATTTTCAGATCTGTTTCTAGCAAAATTTTTAGGCCTTTCAACAAAATCGTTCTTTCCGTGTACGAATCTTTAAAATTCGGCATTTAAGAAACTGTCAATATGGCACAGAACACTCCAGCAAGATTGCAGCAACGTTGCAACATTCCAGCAATATTGCTCTGTTATTATGCGGGCAATTTCTTAAATGCTGAATCTTGAAGCTTTAAAACATTGTCTTTGATAGCCATATTGCAGGAATGTTGCAATGTTGCTGCAATATCGCTGGCACGTTCCATATGCTATTTGGATGTTCACGAATCTGAAAAACACAAACATTAACGAGAGTTGAGATTCGAAAGTACACCGTTAGACATTGCCGGAATTTTCAACCTCGTAAGTCAACATCGAAATTTTCGGACTTCAAGCATTAAAATTACTCTCTCCGAGACGTGGTTCTCTCCGAAGGATTCAAGAACGTTCGACATCGCGAAGAGCGAGAATGTAATGACCCGAGGAGAAGCTTGAAGGAGCAGAGGTCCCTGGGATCTGCCGATGCCGATGGAGATCTAAAGGTCCAGTGTGCGCTAGGTCTAGGAACAGAAGAGAGCCGAGAGAGGGAGAGAGAGAGAGTAAACGATAACGGCGACATAGGCCGTACACCCGCAATTACTTAATCGGCGGGCGCTATTGTTGCTGCGCGGCGGGATCGGCGTAAGTGCATGTCTCGCAGCGAAAACAAATGCAGTAGTTACGCTAACCGCCGAGCAATAATGCCGGGGCCCCGTAGTTGTAACGGCCGACGCGCGCGTTCCGATAATGAAGTTAACCATGTAGTAAAGTGTGCACTCCTCTTCAATCTTCTCCTCCGATCGAGCAGCTGCACCGGCGCGGCGGCGCGGCGCGGCGCGCTCGCTTTCGTGCTCGCCACTTTGCCGATGTAAATCGATGAATTCGCGCGCGCACGCACACTTCGCGCTGGGCCCCGCGTGTACCCCGGGTCCCCCTTTTTGCTCGTGGTGTGGTGTCAAGCCGAGCGTGACGCGAGTAACGGAGAGAGATTATAGCGGCAATCATCATTGTTAGACATAATCTAACAACGTAATAATTCTTAACGCGAGTTCGTACCTGTATATACGTAATTCCAGAATCGCGCTCGCGCGCGGAGAGGCCGCGCGTATCGCCGGGGTTAAGATTTTACAGATAAAAAGAAGGAACTTTCGAGCGCGGGTCGCTTTTGCGGATTAATACGTACCTGACTCGAAAGTCGCTCAAATCGCTCAATCGCGTCAATTTGCTAAGAATCCACAGACCTGCACATTCCGACCCACGACACTCTCACATAGTCGGAAAATCCGTGTGTTAAATTTAATATATTTCACACGTGTCATCAAATTTTTCTGATTAATTTAACACAAGATAAATATGTTAAAAGGTTAATATAAACATTAGCACAAAAAATATAATACCTATACTTTGACAAAATTTGGGAACAAATTGTGGAAACGTATGTTTCTTCAGCAAAATTAGCACGTTAAAAAAGGTAATACTGGCACAATTTGTAAGCAAACTGTGGAAACATGTTTTTTTAGTATAATTAACACTTATGTTAAATTAACATGTATTTTCATTTATTAGAATTTACGTTTTAAAACATATCATTTTCATGTTATTTAAGTTACAATCGCTTATTCATAAATTGTGTTATTTTGACACAAGAAATGTTGAATATCAATAATTTAAAACAAAATATTTAAATAACATATAATTACGTTAAATTAACACTCGATTATGTTAAAAATTCAACACAAAATTTTCAGGATTTGAGTGGACCATTTCTAACACAAATACAAAATGTTTTTCACTGTGTACTACTACATTCTAAAACTACATTATTTTTCTATTATTTATTTACTTACTCATAAATTTCAATACTAAGTAATGTTAAATATTAATTTAATTCAAAATACTGACATAATCACATTATGTTAAATTAACACTCGAACATGTTGAAAAGTCAATATAATAATTTTGAACAAGAATCGTTTTTAAGTACAAGATACAAAATGTTTTCTACTGTGTAACGCTGTGTAATGCTGCTTATTATAAACTGTCGACTCGACAGTCTTAAACGCAATTCATTCAACGTTTATCCCCGCATGAGAGAGCAAAAAAGTTTTGTTATCGCTTGTTATTGTTAATTATTGCAAGAAAGTTACGATCATGCGAGTAATAATTTACCTTTCCTTTTTCTCAAAGGAGTCCGAGTTTGGCGAACGATCGGCGCGATCGTTGCATCCGGGGCAGGCGGAACGTTATAATTTGCGGCAGCCTATCTCGCGCGTGATCGATATCGATATCGAATTAAGTACTGTATACTTTCGACGGGAATTATTATGTTCGTGCGACACGAAAATGGAGGACGACGTCGATGGCGGACGTGATCGCGAATTTATCTTAATTTCGCGCCATTTGTAACCGCGGCGCAAGGTAAACATCTCGCCGGGCGCCGAGTGAATCGAGTCCTTATACAAAGTGGCCTTAAACACGTAATCTAATATGGGAGGGAGGTAAAAAAAAAAAAAGAAAGGGAAAACAAATTACACGGGCGTAAAAATTGAAAGAGAAATCAACATCGAGTGTTAAAGCTGTAAAACGATACGAGAGAGACGAGATTGTAAAGTGCACATCACGGAAGGAAAAAACGACGTGTACTCGTATATGTGAAACGAACGCACGGTACAGTTAAAATGTTATAACCGAAGGAAGAGGCCGTTTTTATAATTTATATCCGTCTAACCGGAGAGGAAAAACGGATTCGCGACGATGCCACCGATATTGCGCAAAATCCCCCTTGGTATTGATTAAAATGGCGTCGGTTCCGGGCCGAGCGACGTCCGAGGAGGCAATAACCGGCGCGCGCGATTCGCGACGGAGAGAGAGAGAGAGAGAGAGGAAGACAGACTCGCGTACCGAAAATCGCTTTCCCATCTTATCCCCGGGCACGCGCGAGATAAGCAGCATGCCGGCGTATTGAATAAACATGGAATTCCAGTGATTTTACGAGGACAGTCTCCGCCACCCCTGCACCCTCGGCAACGGCGGGGGCAATATCTCCGACGAGGATCGGCGGTTCCGTGCCGCGTGTATGCATGCTAATGGCCGGAATTGAATAAAAGATCGGGAATTATGATTGACCTGGGCGATGCCGGCAATCCTCCCCCTGCTGCCTTCCCCTCTCTCCCTCCTCCCCCCTCCCCCTCCCGCGGTCGTGGCTATCTCGAGGAGTAAAACGGAGATGGAAATGAACGCTCGATCGCGGGTCCCGGAGATCTCTTGCTTTTTGCGAGGGGAAATCCTCAACTCCCCGCGATTGCAGGATTCCGATATTGACTACGTTAGCGCAAGCGATGTAAAAGATAAGTACTATATATATTTGTACGATTTTACCTCGCATCCAAACATCTCGTATAATCCAAGACGGATAAAACCGAACGGAACGTTTACTGTTATGAGCAAAAAACGTAGAGATTTTACAGATTTTACTGCAGGCTTGTAATGTACATACACGCGAGGAGAACGGTTTTGCTAAAATATATAAAAATTAGGTTAGATATTATGTATAGTTAGAAATAATAATGTTGCGACCGTTAAAATACAGCCATAAATATAAAGCATCCTCAATTTATTTTCTTGGAGAAAAGGTGGTAATAAAAGTCAAAAAAACCAAATATTAAAGTTGTTTAAAAAATAAATATTATTTTTTAGTAAAAATGTTTTTCAGTTTATTTTTCGTTAGATGTAGAATATTTACGTTAATTTATAAAAGTGCTTGAAACATGATGATAATTAATGCAAAAAGACGTTCTAGCAACCGGCTCGATTCACAATAGTTATTTAAATTATATAGTTATTTTTATGATTTATGTACATACAATTATTTTCAGATCTAGCTAAATTTTTGGATACTTTGTCAAAATCGTTCTTTCTGTATAGAAATGGAAGTAAATTTATTATAAATTCCAGAACAACGTTTTCGTGTGATAAAAACGTGGATATCGCGGATTAAAGTGGTCAATTGATATGTGCTAACAGTGTCAACATATAAAATGCAGGATCGTGAGATAAAAGTCATCGACGTCGCGTTTTATTTCGATCAGCATTCGAGAAGCCGGTCAATTAAGATTTACCGATGGCAGGTAGAGGCGCGTTTGCGAAACGATCCGAGATTCGTCGTTGAAGTGCGAGTCCGGAGGGGGGAAGGGGACCGATGAAAAATCGCGGGGCTGGGCATTAATCAGCGTAATTAGACGCTATTTATTCGCGAAGCGTCTCGATCGTTCGCTTCGCATCTCGCTCATTATTGATAATCTATAATCCGTATAATAACCGCCCTGAGCGGCAATGGCAGGTTGAGGGATCGTGTATCGCGAACGATAGTACCTTTATCGTGTCAATGCCGGGCCAATCGCCGCGCTCACTTGCGCCAAATTTCATAATGGATTAAAGCGGCGGTAATTAATAATCCCGATCAAACGCGGCGATTTGAAGTGTACGCGCGTGATTTCGACGTTAAAAGACGAGAAACAAATTACTCAGGACAACAAAACATATAAATATCGTTTTTTTAAGCTTCGCGGAAAAAACGAGTTTGCTGAA